TGAATTGCGGGAGTAGACAAAGGTTTGCCTGTGGAGAGGTGAGGGCGGTTGAAGGCAAATCATTCTTAATCATTCGGTGGGTGCGAATCCGTGGAATCCACGTTGATCTACGCAATACACGCGCGCATAAACGGTGGCATTCGGGACAAACACGCACCTACACAGACACACAGAGAACATGCTGCAAACACAAACCTTAAGTTCACTGATTTGGGGGTCAGAAGTCCACACCCTGCAGTCTCGCTGCGCACGATTTTATCGGAACAAACGAGCCATTCGGAAACCATTGGATGGTAAGCCCACACCTGGTCAACCTATGGAGGTTGAATTATTATGAGTGTCATAGCCCAAGTGGTCAACGTGCGACTCACAGCGGTGGTCAACACACAGAGGACTGGTTCTAGAATAGTTAACATAATAACCGTTCACGCTATGAAATGTGACCAAACTAAACAGCTGGTCAACTTTGGAAATTTTACTGTAGTTTGTATGTTTGTTTACTTATGGTCCTGTGCAACAGCACAGAGACAGAAAGCAAATCTCAGTGCTCAGCGATATAAAATGCTGTATTTTTCGAACATATACAACTGATGCATAAACCCGAAATTTCTTTTCAGAATTGCTTGCATATCGAAAATTTGAGTAGTCATCTGTTGTAGACGATTCCGCTGCATAATCTGATCAAATATCACTGTAGTAATACACCATTAGCGGCCGACCGACGAACGGTCGACTTAAAACTAAACACTAATTTATTGTCCACCCACACACTACTAACATCAAGAACACTATCCTGTTTGTATATGAACGCCCAAAGTCTTCTTAGTAACTTGGCTGAAGTTAGAGAAGGCCAGGTGTTACAACCGCGGGATCTCATTATGACTACTGAGACTTGGTTACGCCTTGACATAGCAGATTCTGAGGTTAATTTACCTGGTATGTCGCTGCTTCGGAATGACAGAGCTGGAAGTGGTAGTGGCGTAATTCTATATTACAAGCTTAACCTCCAATGTTGACTTATTGAGCACCCAGAAATCCGTGCCCCAGGTTCGCCTTGGTGCCGGCTTTGGTTGCTGAACGAAGACACATGCCTTATAGCTGTGGGTTACCGACCACCAAACTCTACGTGTGAAATGGACTCCAAACTGAACGGTGTTCTTCAGATTACATTGAGCAAGTCATTCGGTGATATTCGTACCGCAGGCGCATTTACGTGCACGAGCTGGAAATAGCGGTGACCGATAGCATGCAGTTCAAAGCCTGTTTACAAGAGATAATTTCCAGCTACCCTCTGTACAAACACGTGACCCCATCTACCAGATTTCGAACAGCTAACAGACCGTCGATATTTGATCTTGTGCTCTTCAATGAAAAACCCATGGTCGACGGAATAATTACAAGCACACCACTAGGTCGTAAAGACGATTCCACTCTACTGTTTATCTAGGTATGCTATGCGGATTATCCTGAGGAAGCGGATGATATAATGTATGCGGTCACGCACTACAACGGGCTATCCGCGCTTGTTAAGGAGCCATCTGGTACCATCTGAGAATTTTGCACAAGGACATTTAGTACAGAAGTAGCGTGTACTACTGAGCAGAAATCCTTGGATCATCAAAGGAGGAGGAAGTCAATTCTGAGGAGTGAACACCTAAATGCTCCAAGCATTGTTGGATTTGAGGGAGTGGCGGTTCGTACAAAATTTGTCGAAATGGTCTATTTAGTTAGACCGAACGATGTCTCCGCTGTTTGTATTTACGCGTGTTTCGGTGCTTGGATATCGGAAGCACTGCCCAGTATTTAGAAGTCAGGTAGATTTAGAATGCACTGTGAAGTACTCGAGAATAATTTATCGCATTTTAGCTTGTTAAAGCACTAGGAATAAGTACCGATCCAAAGGAATGCAACGAAATGCCGGTGAGCCACAGTGAAAAACCCCGAGTGCACAAACAAGCGATTTGCATGCACGTTCGCTCGAAGCCCCAACTGTCCCCACATATTCGCACCCACCGAATGACTAAGAATGATTTGTGTTCAACCTCCCCAACCTGTCCGCAGACAAGCCTTCGTCTACCCCAGAAAGCATGTGTCCACTCCTCGCAAATGCCACGATTCACATACATACATATACACCTAGTATGAGATTGGTATAACAACACTTTTCTTACCACTCCCCTTAGATTCCCCTGTTATTGTCAATGATGATATCCACAACATTGTCACAGTGATTCCTGTGAAACGTTTCTTCCATCTACACCATAACGACATTAGTCTAACTTCCGCATACTCTACCATTTCCTCGTTACTAGGTATCGCTTGAACTGTTATTAGTTTGCTGCATTTTGACCGTATAAAGGCGACTCTGACATCAGTTACTGCAGCAACTCTTCTCCATAGCTTTGTACTCATCTAACAAATCTTTTGTGCAGGTTTACTCCTAAACCTGTTGCATTGTCTCCCTGTTTCCTAAATACTACCTTTCCTCTACCCTTCCCCCACCACTCTAAATCTATTTAACTAACGATGTTTCATCATTAGGACCGAGCTCACCCGCCACCCTCCTCGCCGAACCAACAATGGACTACGATATTGCAACTATATCGCCGTCTCGATTACACCCTAAGCCAGCAAACCGCCATGAGTCCTATACCGTCCAAACTTGCAACACCCACTGACTACCGTACTCCCCTACGGACACGAAGATCAAACACTCGCTGATGCTGATAAAGAAGAAAGAATGAGTGACGATAAATTCGGACATCTTTTAATGCAACTGAAATATTAACTGTGGAAAAATGTCAAAACATACTGAGTAGTGTGGCTTGTGTTAGGAGAAACGGACAACGGTTGACATTTTCTGCAAAAAATGATTTAACTTGCGAAATGCACATTGCCTTTTGATTTATTATATCACTGTATGGTTGAACTGCGTTTGCTGTTACGTAATACCACGTCTAATGTGTTCGAAATGGCTTCATGTTAACATAAATTTCATCTATGCTACGCACAACGGGAAATTAAGTTACGCCAACTTTTGTACTATAACCTACGTATGTTGACCACTTCACTATGTTGATCACTTTGGTTCAGTCCCTTGAGTGGTCAACGTAAGGAGATTTTACTGTAGTTTATATCTCGACAGTGGTTCATCCAATCAAAATTTGCAAACGGATCACCAAGAACGGTTTCTACACAAATCATGGCATTAGAGAGCTTCGGGATTGTCATTTCTGCGATCATATCACCTTTGACTGGTGACGAAAAGTACACTAACCGCTTTTCAGAGGAAACTTGTCTCGAAATGATTTGGAATATTGGTAGCTCGGGAGGCTTGCTCAGTTATTGTGGAGTTCTCCGAGCTGGGCAACTTGGTTGTAGACGTTTCGCCACCACTCGAGGTGGCATCTTCAGAGGGGGATTGATACCAGGTAAGTAGCAGTAGCTGGTAGAAAGCAAACCCAATAAGGGATCAATTATTGGGTTTGCTTTCTACCAGCTACTGCTACCTACCTGCTATCAATCCCGCACTGAAGATGCCACCTCGAATGGTGGCGAAACGTCTGCAACCAAGTTGCCCAGCTCGGAGAACTCCACAACAACTGAGAAACTTGTCTTATTAGCGGGGTTCGTACTACCATGTGCCGGCGGATTCAATTCTCTGGTATCCGTTTCGTTGGAACATACTTCGGATATAATTTCATTTTTCGAAAAGCGTGTCCTCTGTACATATCCTTCTCGTTTTCTCCATTACATTACGGATGAGATTTCATGTCTTACTTATTGGAATGAAACTAGAGAAATACAAATACCGTTCATTCCATGTTGCTTTCCTGTGAACTCTCCTCTTACGTCCCTTCGAATGCCGTGTTAAACTGGACATACTATGCAGTTGTTACGTCCGAGCTCGATGATAAAATTAAGTTGTTACGTGTATTTTTATTAAAATTGGCTAACGAAGCCCCATCGACTCTCTCTGTTGAGCTCAACACAGTTGTTATGGTGTTCGCCGTGTTCGTTTGGCAGAATGCGCTTAGTGCTTCGCCAAACCGAAGGATCTTTACTTGTTTTAGAATGTGTTCTTCACAAAGGTTGTACAATCCTCCATTCCTCATCACGTCTCACTTTGCTAGTGTTTCCGGGTTACCGCTCCCTTCTCATGCCTTCCCATCAAGTTACTTCTTAAGTGACTTATTTTGTCTGTGTACCCTAATGTTGTGCGATATAAAGGGATTGCTTGGCTGACAGTTTCAAGACCACGTGGTGTCTTTGCCGCTCTATTCCCAATCCACAACAGACTGTACAATGGTATCTAGCACAAACAAGTCTATAGTTTGGGGAACCTCTATTGATTTATTGTTTAATTAGGACATTGCACTGGATAGAATACCAAGTACACCGTGGAGTAAGCAGTTCTTCTTCCAACCACCAATCGGGCATGATGGTATGTTTGTCGTTGTGAAACAAACTCGTCGTTTTCTCATGGCATGAAGCGGTCATCTGTTCGTTTAACTTCCATCCATACCCAGATCGGAGGCGCGGAATTTTTGATTACTTACCGGGATCTGATTCTCTTGATATTACCATATCAGATAAAAGAAATCAGGTGCGCTTGATGAAAACGATTCACGCACTTATCGAATAACCTCAAGAATAATGGGTTGTGAGTGTTACAAATCATTCACTTATGGTCCATAAACATTTCACTTTAAATATCCTGCTCTTAGTCAATGCAATTTGATAGACAACTCTTTCAGTTGCGTGCTGGACGTAACTGACAGGAATTTGAGCCAATTTACTTTTACCCAGTGTCACACAAAGCAAGTTAAACCGATCAAGTACCACAGTTGATTTCAGGCAACCCATCTAATCTAATTCCATTTCTAATCACCGTGGAATTTTACTCTTTCATCCAGAAGCACAGTAGCTTTGTAATTTTCACCTATCCAACATGTATTGCCCAAAATCTAGTTGTATGTTTCTTGATCTCTTACCAACAGCATGAGGATCTCAAGAGATTTTTGAGCGTAAGCGAAGGTCGACCACACGACCGGGATGGCATGTCATCCTTGGACGGACACAGACGCATGATGATGACATCAGTTGACCTGGACGAGGATGTGAGACGTCCAGGGTCCAAGACGGACAACCCGAGCCCCAACAGCGGGCGCCTGGAAAAAGCTGTAGAGGTCACAAGAATATGTTCAGATGCCATGACATCGCCGACTAAAGATCACAATGAAACCGCAGGACAAACATTTTCTCCTAAAATGACTTTGGCAGACCCAGTAACTTCTATGAAACTGAGTGAAACAATCGTCAGAGTCCAAGAGCCAAAGTCGGTAGCAGACGTCTGGCTTCAGGCTGACACACCTCAAGTACCTTTTGATATCCTTCAGGCTCTAAATGAAATCGAGCACCGTCTTCATAAGCTCGACATGCAACCATTAGAAGCAGAAATCCACCACGACCTAAACATAAAGGTAAATGAAATTTTTCGCTTTTGCGACACTCCTGCTCTCATTCCTCTTACACTGTTACTGGTCCAAGTCATGCAGGTGCTGTTAAACTAAACAAACTCTGAGACACCTTGCATTGCTTTTCTTACTGGTAACTACATTTATCTCACTTAGGTGAGAATCGTCCACTGCACTACTCACAGACGGTAGCGCCCACTATCTATAAATCTGGCTGGCTAATCCCCATGCACCGGGGTATGCTGTTCTGCCTCGTCTCGGGCGGAAAGCTATATGTTTGTAGGCTTCTGTTTTTTGGTTCTGCCAGCGATATTGCAGCACTTACAATTTAGATTTGGTGAGTTTCTTGTCAAAACCTCTTCGAATGGTATCCATAACTAACTGAGAACATAGTGCACCAGCGACTTCGGTTGATTACAAAAATCTCAACCCAACTTCCGGTACTTATGTGGCGTGGTGGGATAACCGATGAAACAGACTATATAGCTACTTTGTAGAGTAATCCACCAGTCAGTTGACGAATTCCTTGTTTCTAGCTTTGCACACAAATCATGCTAACATATACCGTCACATTGCCTATCGCAACCATTGCTTCAAACACCCGGCAATTCACTTGAGAGGTTAGCTGTGTTATGCTGCGTGTACGTATCCTTTTAGTCAAGTGTGTTCATAGAGGCAGAATGTTATGGAAACAACATCACACAGGAATAATTTTGGATATCCAGCTATGGGATGTGTTGTGAGGAAGAGAGGGATAAAGCTGCGTTCACTCTGGTTGTGATGCGTTCACTCATCAGCTTGGGAACATTTACTTGGGATGCTTGATATACTAATCCCAATCAGACCTAAGTTTCCGCGTGGGGAACATCAACCCGTAAAACTTCATTGTGCGCTCACTGCACTCATTCCTCACAAGCAATCAGTGGCAATATTTACCGCTAGAAACATGCCACACTTTTAGTACCCAGCATTTGGCCTCAGCGACCCAAACATCCTTGATCTATGTGCAATATTTGTTTACCAGTTTCTGTACAGAAGGTTGAATGAGCGCCGTCTCTCATAGCCTTGCTTCACTCATCTACACCAACAACTCAAGTTAACAACTGAACTCCTTTTCAGCGGTTCGTCCCCAGACCCATACATCACGAATGAATGAGGAGCATAAACAACCGATAAGAGTACAAGCTCAGATGCCCAGATGGTCTAAATAACCAACGGAGAGGACTAGTCCCAAAACGATCTAATGTGTGTGTGTGTGTGTGTGTGTGTGTGTGTGGTGTTGTGCGCACCATGTGTCAGCGTTGCTGGGATCCATGGTAGACTGAGTGCATGGACACCTTTCTTACGCACATAGATCAGGGTCATGAAGCCGAATGGTGATCGCTTCGGCAGCTGTCAACAGACGATGTCAAGCCTAATGTACAACATGCTTAAGGCTAAGATTCAATTCAGCAGCAATAATTAAGGGCAGAGTCATACTTCTTTTCTTGTATATACTTTCTCTTGCACAAGTTGATCAAGATATGGGGAACGAAACCAACAGGAGACTGTCCTAGAGAGTCTGAGAGCATTACTAGACTTGGCTACTTAGCAGCGTGACTAAAGCAATGGTAAACGCAGTATCTGCACATCTTGTCTATTCGAGCAACTCGGCGATCGCGTATGTGGCGTACCCAAATTCTACACACGTGCGGTTAGATGTTGTCAACTGTCAGCGACAGAAGCGAACGTCATTCGGCTTCACGACCCTGACCAATGTAAGCATGAGTAATTTGTCCAGGCGCTCAATCTTCCATGACTCCTTGCAACGCTAACACATGGTGCGGACAACACCACACAAACACATTTCATCGCTTTGATCACTAAGACCATCTACTTATTTGAGCGTGTGCTATTATCTGCCGTTTAGGTTCACGTCATCCATTCGTGACCTATAGACCCGATGATGAACCACTGAAAACGAGTTGTTTCGCTGAGCTGTGTTGCTGTGAGGTTCTTTGTCCCACCCCATCCCTCTTAGCCTCCCCCTCCAACCACGATCTCATTATTTAGCCTTATATAATTTTGCATAATATTTTTTGGGTGCACAGCAGCCGGCTGGTAGCTTTTCTCATTTTTTTCTATGTATTACGACACAGTAGCTAAGCTGTTCCCCACCTCTAGCTGACGTGTATGATGATGATGAGGATGCTGTGTTGCTTATTTTTGTGCCCTGGCTATTTTATCAGTTCATCCATATAAGAGAATATCTGGTCTAGCCAACAGTCGTCAACTTATCATAAATATCGCTGTCTGTGTTACTGTGGTGGTGTCCCCGCCCCCCCCCCTGAAACTCAAAATTCATTCAAACCAACACAACTGGTTGCATGATACAGAGCCAATAATGGGTGGTATATTAATCAGAGCAGTAAAAATGAACCTGTTAATTGATAAACACACCTGGTAGATATGCATTTCACGGGTATAACAGTGCGGCTTATTTTAATTCTTACAATTTCTTGCAGCCAAGTTATAGCCAAGTCTGTACTGATGATGTAACTTCCATTGGTAACGGAACGTCTGCAACCAACTTACTAGGCTCGGTAAACGAATTATAGGGAGGCGGAAGGCAGTGATTGCCCGGAGGACAGAAAGACCATCAAAACGGGGGCGGACGGAAAAAGGAACAGTCGCAATGAGGGAGGGCAGACGCAGCCCAGCTGGTCTAAGGGAACGAGATGAGAACGGGTCAAGAGCGGCGTCGGGTAGTGAGTCTTAGCCAGGCAGTACGGTGAGGGTATTCATAGAGAACATAATACATCAGACAAAAGCGTTGTTATTACAGCCTCCCGGACCGACCCCAAACACAGTGATGCATCCAAGGTCAAGCAACTCAGGAGCTATCGAACGCCTCCGGGCAATCAGATTGGGACCCGTAGAAATGGAGACACGGGAATACTCCATCACAAGGTCCCCAAAGTGCATGGATGTGTTGCGAGCGGAAGCCAGGAGAGATGGTGCGTCCTGGGAAGGAAAGCTGACACATTAATGTACTTCTGCGTGAATGGTGATATAGCTTGTGATCGCGTCAATAAAGATTGTGCTTCATTGCCGCGTCGTTCTTGCTACAACGTGAACAACTAAATGCACAACAGATATTCACGCGCGACAGTGCTCGGATGCGTTGATGGTGGAACACCACATTCTCAACATCGATGTTAAACGTCCCGTGCTGAGTAGTGCGGACTTCCCTCTCGACAAGGTTACATCGCTGCCCCAACGTTGATGGCTAGATTACGTCATCCTAATCATGGTGTGCTGACGTTTACCAGGGCATCCTCTATTCGCTGACGCATGGCCGCACTGGTCAGTCTGCCACATGGCGATAAAAAGCTCAAGGCGCTGAGTTCCAGTCTAACTGTTGTCGGTCCCGCATGTCTTCCGGGCTGGGGAGTCAGTGATGAAAAACATCACTGTTTGGAGACTCGAGTACGTAGCGTGGAATCAGGGCGAATGGAAGGTTTGCAGGAGACTATGCATTGATTTTATTGATCAACACACTAAGCACACAACAGACAAACAAGGAAAAAGGGAGTGTGTAAAAAACAAAAATGCCGTCAAACCTGTATGAGGCGACCACACAAGAGACCGACAAAAGGTGGTCGACTTAGACAGGTTCATGCATAGGAGCATTACTTTCAGGAGAACATTTTGGGGATCTTTTTAGCTAGATGCCATAGAGAGGTGGTCGCCGTAGCAACTTGGACTGCACTTTTCTTTATGTATTTTCCATTTTGTAATCCTTGAGCTTATTATGCACATCCATTTCATGCTTTTGCGTGGCGCTATGTCCATTGTATAGACTGTTGCTAATGATATATATATATATATATGTATATATATATATATATATTGCTTTGTGTGCCAGATCAAGAGTGACTATGCCTAACAACTCGTCTGTATTGTTTACAGAATGTTATTCCTCTTCCTTCCAGAAACACTTATCTACTTTACTTTTACCTTTCTGATATTAGGATCCTGGAGACATGACCCCATCGGACGCTGATCGATTTCCTGTCCGAAGTATCAGGTTCGATGAGTTGGCTTTGAGCGAGCCGGTGTCTCAAAAACCGCCCACACCAAGTCCAAGACAGATAATCAGAAGGTAAGCCAGCGGTGTCCAAATTTATATCACACTAACCGTGTTCATTCAAATGCTTGATCCACCCCATTATCAATTTTTCTGATTGTGTCTGAATGATGAATCGCCTAGAATTACTCTCCTTTGCAAGCAACACTGCGCACTTCTGTCTTAGTGAATTTACCTACCAGAATGACCAACGCCATCCGCTAGTGATGTCATTTTAGGGCACAACAGACGAGTTTTGCGCAAGGTTTACGTGTTTTGCTTGAAAGATGTAAGCTGCCATTTTTGACTGTCACGATACAACACACAACGCACAAAAGACTACTGGGTAAATGCGTTGGCGTTGTGGTTTACTGATGTGGTTGATATACCAAGACAGGAGCTACTGGGTAGCGCCTACTATGATGTTTCTGTGGCTGATGCTATGCACAGTCAAAAAAGTGTCATTTTATGTTACAATCTAGTATAAATTTACTAATATGTGCTGCTGTTGTCTGGTTAAGGCATCTAACCAAATCAAGTCGGGCTGGATTAATCATGTATTCTTCTGGGCGAAGTTTATACCTGTTTCGGCCAAACGCAACTACTAGCAGTTGCAATATCCTCGGACCAAATTCCTGACGCTGGTCGCTGAACAGATAGCGAGTTTGTTCACATTTTCTCATTCTCAAATAGATCTGGGCTAAAAGAGCTCTCGCTTCAAGAACGAAACGCAGTCGCAATGCAACCCTATATTAAACCTGCTTCATACTGAACTTTCAGGAATTATGAGTACCCACGGCTCCAAGCATATTCCGAGACATTGACCACGAACGCGGCTACTTTAGTCACTTTTACAGTTGTTAAGCTTAACTTCCGTTACTCTCATGCATTCCATTTCTTGCGTTCTGAGCGCATGAGTTGGGATAACATGAATTGCGGCTCCGTTTTATTACATTCGACTTAGGCAATGAAATACCATGTTTGGCAA